TCCCATACAGCAGACCTATAAAGTGCTGCTGGCGCGTCTTCCAACTCCTGTTCTTTCCCACTCGCCATACCCACACAATTCTCCACAACAACTGATTTTTTCCTGCTACACCCGGCTACGCTGCTTCGCTTCTCCACCTTCTGCTCTGGAGTGTAAACGCTTCGCCTATGAGAAAAAGGAGCAGCGCATGAACCAAAGGCAACACACGCGAATCGAACCAAGACAGGTGAACCGAACGGTTCGGACGGTTTTCATAAACCGTTCCATCCCTAATATTGACAGACTTTTTTTTTAATCTTAGATGCAAAATGTTTATATGTTTTTTTTTACAATTATGGTGTAATTCCTGCTCTAAGTGGGTCCCTCTATCAGCTAAAGGCATGTTTTAGAATCTCTACACTCCAGTTCAATTTAAACTGATTACTACAATAGTTGATGATTATTTCAATAATCGATTAATCTGATTGTTTCAGACGTAGCATTAATGATAAAAAAAAGCTAATATTGACCAAAAATAACGGTCAGCCAATGTATCTATGTCAAATATAAATATATATGAATACTCTGGATTTGTCTGTGGCTTCCCCTCCTTCCATTGAGTAAACACTGCTATCCTGCCATTAGCTCTATTGTCACATTGCAGCTGAAGTGGCTGCAAGCAGACAAAGGTTAAAGGAAAAGTCAACAAGAAATAATCAATGGATTATTATCTATACCTAAAAGTAATATGTTCCCGGTGATTTAATGTGTTTAGCGTTAATCAGTAAAAAAATAAAATTTTTGTCATGATCACTGAGTCTAGGAGGGGCCATTTTTGCCCAAATATAGTAACACCTCACTCCTCCTTTAAAATAAAAGTAGAAAGTTATATCCTGTGGTGGAAATGAAAGTGATCCCCAGACAGTTTTTTTGAAAAAAATAAAACACTAATATATAATTCAAGCACGTGAAAATTTTCATTATAATAATTAATTTTAAAAGTTACTGTTAAATCAAATTTGATGTCAAGCTTATGACGGACTGAGAGTCCAAAACTAAGGCATGGGACAAGAGCATAAAAACTCATTATAAAACAATATTTTATATAACATTAATAATAATTTATATATCAGAATTTCTTGTAAGTTCGTCTTTGTGTCCAGTAAGTGCAGCATTAATTAAAAAATCTACAAATATGCTTTTGTTTTTCTTACTTCTGCCCAAGAAACAAATTCTGAGATAGTTGGAGAATCACCCATATTTTATGTTTCCCTTTTTTTTGGACACCATGAGAAACTGAACAAGTACAGACTTTGCTTCTTCGCTTCAGTTAAACAATCACAGTCCTTTCCTGCATCACAATCACAATGACATGAAAAGAAACATCAATTGTTGGATATCAAACCAGTTTTACTTATTTGACCGATTCTGAGAAGCTTAAAAATGACCCACATCTTAATGGTGTCATATTGTGCATCCCTGCTGATTAATTATCTTCTTAAAAAGTTCATCAAAAGAAAGACTATTTTTGTTTCTTGTGCCTAAACTGAAACGAAACTAACAAAAAAATGATCTCATTGCAAAGCAAGCTACAAAAAGAGTTATCCAATATCAGTAAGATATCGATTGCTAGAAACAACAAGGAAACCTTTACTTTACAAAATACAAAATGTTCTCTATGTTATAAATGATCAAAAAAGGTGTCTTTCTCACAGTTTGGAAAACTGTTATTTCAAATATTGAATAAGGATATAAGTGACGCTATATTTCTTCTTTTGACAGAGAACTAAAAACCATTTCTATAATGTCACAAATGTACTAATGGACACATTAATATTGTTGCCATGAAGTAATCAGCAAAAAGGGGCCTGAAGGCAAAACTCTCTGCAGGTGTTGCCAGTTGAAAAAAAAAAAAAACTAAACAAAACTGTGATTTATTCCTAAAAATGACACATTATTGCAATCAGAGAGAAAAGTACATCACTGGCAGATTTTGAAGGTGCGGCACTGTGCTCACAATTTCCTGGCAATGACTCCCCGAGTGGGCTCACACACACACATACACACACATACAGTGGCAGAGCATCTCACCAAACCAGCATTATGCAACCAACTTCTATAGATGCATTTGCACAAGAGGGCATTTTGGCTCTTATCTGCTCTGCTCGGAGGGAATAAGAAGCGGGAGTTAAAAGGAAAAGAGCCGCTGCAGCAGTTCCATTTGCTCCCTTTCTGTCATGTGTGGCTCAGATGTTGACTCCAGGGTCACTCCAGGTTGTCTTTTTTTTTTTTTTTTGCTAGAGATTAGATATTTGAAGGCACAGATGATTTTCCACAAAGGCTAACAGATCTAGTGCTCCACACACTCCATTGCTTGGCTTCACTCTCATGCAGCACACCCCCTCACACAGATACAGCAGGTACTCACACAAACCTGGAACAGCCTCAGTCCTTCAGAGCTGCTCCCCAAACTTTACAGCTGCACCTCTGCACCTCCTTCCCATCCGACTCCCCTTATTTATTTAACCCTCTGATCACAGAGACACAATGCAAACTGAGGGTTTCAGCTGGGGTGGATGGGAGGCAGCTCACTGCAGCACGCCTGCTCACATATAGCATTAGTCACAGTTGCAGAGCAGTGATACTGAGGGAATCTGGCTGTTTTTTGCCGTACATTGAAGCGCCTTTCACCCACTCATGCTGGAGTGTGAGGGAATGAGAGACCAGCAGGCAGAGGAGAGGTCATCTACATATTTCACTGGGCCAAACTTTTTTTTTTTTACTTTGGAGGCATGATAGTGTCCATTCAGGAATACAATCTTAACACATTTAGGTGTTAAGTTCCTATAAACATCATTTAGATCAGGCTGTTCTTTTTTTTTTCTTTTTTTTTGCCATACAGGAAGTGCATCTAACAAGTGTCACTACAAAACTCGCTCGGAGTAGATTTTTTTTCTCATAACAGGATCTGGAACATTTCATTTCTGCATGTAGCCCTTATCAACCAACGCAGTACAGCAGGAGAACACCATGACAGCCGCGCGCGCGCAGCCCTTTATTACCATACTATAATTGCGGCATGCACACCGAGCATCTCTGCTGGGCTTCTATCTAGCAGGTACTCTGGGGCCATCTCCGCGCACCTGTCGGCTATGGTGCCTGCTTACATTTCCATATGGCAATCAGGGAGGAGAGGGGCACAGAGAAAGACAGAGAGAGGATGGAGGAGGACAGGGAAGAGAGAGATGCAGTGGGTGTCAAAAAAAAAAAATTAAAGGATGAAAAATCTGCTTACTTTACCTTGGAAGGGAACATAGGACATGTTCCAAAAGCATCGGACGTAAAGCTCTGCGTCGCGGCGGTCTCTCGGTGCTCAGTAGTATTGAGGGAAACCAAATTAGAAAAATAAATCCGGAATAATTCAAATATAAAAAAAAAAAATTATTAATTTAAAAAAGGGACGCGTTTTTAGTGTTGTTTACGGCAGCAGTCGATGAAGAAGAGGCCGATATTCCGCTGTGATAAAAACTGGCATCATAATCCACGACCGCTTATAAAGCGCCCGGTGCGAGGTGCATAAAAAATACAGGGTGCAGGAGTGAGTGTGTGTGTGTGTGTGTGTGTGCGGGTGAGGATATGCGTGCGCGCGCGCGCGGCGGTTCGTTTGCACGCTGCTGCCGAGGTGTGAGGGTGAAGCACGAGAGGGAGTGTGTGACGGAGAGAGAGAGGGAGAGGAGGATGAGGGGAAAGCTCGTGCATGCGCGTTTCTGTGTGTGTGCGCGCACTCGTCCCAGTGTCTGTAGAAATGAAATTCAACGCGTGCGTTTTACAATTCCGCGCGCGCCCCTAGAAGAAGATTGGCGAATGTAATGATGTTTGAGTGAGAGTAAATTCACTGCTTCAGGCGCGAGAAAACAGTCTGTCCGCGCGCGTGATATAATTCACTTAGCTTATGATCAAAAGTCAGGCTCCCAATATATGATATTGTCCTCTACATGCTCCTTTCACCTAGGTTCAACAAAGTCAGATAAAAAAGATAATTAAGAGAATGATGCTATTTAGAATTAATATAGTATATAAGAAAATCACATGGTTTAGGTCAATGTTTATGCATGTGAATTTGTTTAGTAATGAGCTTGAAAAATGAAAACTTAAATAATTTGCCCAGTGAATTATATAAGGAGAGGGAACAAGGAAGCTTTCTACAAGAAGGGACAGAGCAAACTGTACTTCCTCAGGAAGCTTAGGTCCTTCAGCGTTTGCTGCAAGATGCTACACCTTCTATCAATTTATGTGGAGAGTGTTATCTCTTCCTCCATCATCATCTGCTAGGGCATCAGCATCAGAGCAAGTGACTTAGAAAAGCTCTTTAAAGGAATAGTACACCCAAAACATGATTAGCCTTCATTTTCTACTCACCCCCATGCTGAACAACACTCTGGAGTACTTTTTTGATATCTCAAATGCATCTGGAGATCTGGGAGGCTTCTTGCTGTCAGATCTCCAGATGCATTT